AGGCTGCCCCAAATTTAAAACTGAAACAACTGTGGGGGCCTGACTCACAGACGGACACAATCAGAAGCCTGATGATGGCAGATGAGATTCTGCTGAAACGTCGCTACAACTTTAAAAGCACAACTACTATGACGTGGGAAAATACCCGAGCAAAGCCGAATGCCATACATGTAAGTACCCGCGAAAACTTAAGAATATGAATGAATATATATATCATATATCATATATCTTGATGAGTTTATTGTTTTTATTTTATTTTTGTTGCTATACACCATCCTAAGTCACTTCTTGTTAGATAGGTGGCCATGTAAATGTAATAAATAAATAAACTTGTATTTTTATTATGATTTTCTACATTTAAATGTGTAAAAATATATATATTTATGGTTATATAAATATTTATGGTTTTATTTTAGCATAAGCTGCCCAGAGTAACCTTCAGATGAAACAAACTTAATAAATAATTAAAAATAATTAAATAAATAAAAATCATATTTAGAAGGACAGGTATAGTTCTTGGAATATATTTAGAATAATGTCATAACAAAGGCATATGCTATGTTTGAAGCATTTTTATTCCACTATTTAGCCAAAAAAGTATTTACAAAGAGGCTACAATAATTACTAAAAATATTCTTATTAGCAGACTTAAAATCTAAAAGACAAATTTCAGGAGTATTAAATAGAGATAAAAAAGCTTATTTTTCAGTTATGTTTTTCATTATTTAATGAGTCTCAAAATAAAGAAGAAATACAGTGCATGCAAACATTTAGACACCATCCTCTCTCATGACATTGCATATTTTCATTAATTCCGAAGTGAACAAAAGCTGAGAAACTTTTACATGTTAAATATCACATCTTTCCTGAACTTTTGCACATAACTTCAGACATCTAATATTTGGCACCTAACTTTACTTCACAGAGAACTGTCGTTTAGTTCCATTTTAATTAAGTAGCTTTTCCTAGTTTCTAATACATTCTGTGCAATGAAGGACTTGTTCTTCAAAAATATTACATAACAAATTATACTCAGACATGCCCTTGTTTTGTATCCTTGCCCTGTGATGTGTTGTTTTTAGTAATGCTTATGGAAATGTTTCAGCAACTGTTCCAATAATCTAATATAAGGACGCTGTTTTTGTAAGGATACTGCTACACTCCCTGAGACTATGTAATGTAGCTCAAAAAATATTAGGAACCTAAATTTCTGCTAAAGACCATTATAAAAGCCTAGTATTATTTGAGATTAGTCCTATAATTTTGTTTCTTGCTCTATGTTCTAACAATTTTTTAAAATCGGCATTAATTAGGGGCAGAATGGATAATAAATACAGCAGCATGGCCTTGTGAAAAAACGGATGTCCTCAATCGACATAATCTGCTATATGCTGTAGCATCTGAATTAATTACAAAAAAACGGTATGATGAAACGTTTGAAGTCTTAAAAAATCTCCCAGGTTTTCAGAATGCTTGTGGTAAGTTGTTAGTTACGTTACAATACTTAAAATAATGGACTTTTAGTTTGAATATGTGTCATTGGCATTTTCATTTATTTTTTATTGATTTGTTTGTCAAGCATGTTTGAGAAAATAAATATAAGTATGAATATAACATATAAATATATATAAACAGGTATAAGTATATACATAAAAATGAGTACAAATAAATGGATACATGGGAATAGTAGGACAGGAATGGTAGGCATGCTGGTGCACTTATACACGCCCCCTTACGGACATCTCAGAAATGGAGTGAGGTCCATGGTAAGCAGTTTAAGGTTAAAGGGGTGGGGGGTGTGGTGTTGAGGATGTAACAACAGAGTCAGGTAGTGAGTTCCAAGTATTGACCACTCTGTTGCTGAAGTCATATTTTCTGCAATCAAGTTTGGAATGGTTCACTTTAAATTTGTATCTATTGTTTGGCCATGTGTTATTGCAACTGAAGCTGAAGTAATCGTTGACAGGTAGAATGTTGTAGCGGACAATTTTGTGTACTAAGCTTAGATCAGACCATAGGCGGTATAGTTCTAGGTTGTTCAGGTCCAAAATGTCAAGCCTGGTAGCATAAGGTATTCTATTGTGAGCAGAGGAGTGGAGTACTCTTCTCGTGAAATACCTCTGGACTTGCTCAATTATATTGATGTCTGTTAACATTGTGGATTTCAGGCAGATGAGCTGCATTCGAGAATTGGTCTGGCAAAGGTTTTATATACCCTGATTTGCAGTACAGTGTTACCAGAGAAGAAGCTTCGCAAAATTAGGTTAACAACTCTTAATGCTTTTTTGGCAATGCTGTTACAGTGAGCTCTGGGGCTTAGATCTTTTGAAATGAGTACTCCTAGGTCCTTGACAGAGTGAGAGTCATCTATCAGGTCGTATTCGCCCAGTTTGTATTTAGTGTTCTGATTTTTGTTGTCAATATATAAGACAGAGCATTTGTTGATTGAGATTTGAAATTGCCAATTGTTCGACCATTCTGACACATACTCAAGGTCGCTTTGTAGGGTAGCAGTATTGTCAGTGATGTTAAACAGTTTTATGACATCAGCGAAGAGGACACAGTTGCTTATAATATGATCACAAAGGTCATTTATGTAAATTAGAAAGAGAGTGGGTCCTAGAACATTATCCAGAGGTGCTGTGATTTGGGATGTATAAATTAAATCTTAAACAAATATTTGTGTTTTCAGTCACTTAATGAATCAGGTTTCCTAATTGAATTAAATTGAATTGAATTCTTTATTGTCATTGTACATTTATACACAGTATACATACAATGAAATTCACATAACACCCAGAGACCAGACTCAATACGCACATACGCGACAATCCCCAAACACCTCCCAACCTGCCAAAATTCCCTGCCTCCCAAAAACAAATAAGCATCCACACAACAGACCAAGTAATACTGTCCAACAGCTCACTGATGGTGGTCCTTAAGTTCATTGTTAAGTGCAATTATAGCTCTGGGATAAAAACCATTCAGAAACCATGTGGTCCGAGTTTTAATTGTTCTGTATTTTCTGCCAGGATGGGAAGAGTCCGGGGTGGGATCCGACCGGTGTAACTACCGGTCCAGTGATTTTACGTTTTCTGCGTGGATGTGCGCTACATGCGTGTTTATATCATTATCAGCTAGCTTCCTGGACAGCTGAGCAGCACTGCATGCGGATGCGCAGTGGTAGAAAAGGCACTTTTTTCCTGCTTTTTCAACCATAGCTGTGCTGCGCAAAGCAGCTGCGGTTGAAAAAGCAGGCAATAAAGATCAGATAGGAGCCCAGGCGGGCAGGTGGGCCAAAAGAGCAGCAGACATAGTACCAATTCTATGTAATCTCTGTTTGCTGCTCTTCAGAGCAACTGGTTCCACAGAGGTGGACAGAACCGGTAGAATCCCACCCCTGGAAGAGTCTCTGAGAATGTTGTGCAACTTCCTAAAAACAGCGACATGCAAAGATGTCATCTAGGGCTGGTAGCTGGAGCCCAGTAATATTCTGGCCAGTTTTAATGATTCTCTGTAGAACTTTTTTGTCCACTACGTAGCTGTTCCCATACCATACAAGAATGCAGTATGTCAGGACGCTCTCAGTGGTGCTGCAGAAGTAGACACTGAGATAGAATTATCTTCCTTAGCATTCTCAGGAAGTACAGCCTCTTCTGTGCCTTTTTTTACAAGCATGTTAGCATTTATAATATAGCTAGTTCTACTTATTCACAGAGATTCTGTGCCTTCTCTGCAGGACCTGTCCTTTGGATAGGCCTGAAATCCAGATGGTCATCCTTTGTCAATATTTACTTACCAAAAATGATAAACAATGGCCCTAGTGCCTAAAAAAAACAGTAGGAGCGATTTCCAATTTTGGAACAAGCTGGCAGAAACCATCAGAATTCATGATGACCTGGTAGTGGTGTTTTAATGACCAATTCAGTTGGTTTGAATATCCTTGAAATTTCAATTGCACTTTGTAATTGGTCCCAGATTTTGAATACATTCTTTAAATTAGGCTATTGAGGTATCTTGATTCAAAAATTGTTGCCCTGTGTTACACTATTTTGACTAATTGAAGGATACAAACTGACAGGAGATTTTGTACCGGTATATATATAAGATTTATTAAAGTCCTTTTATTTGACCTCTTAATATAAGGTATATGTAACAATTGTGCATTGTGCTTGACTCTTATTTAAGAAGCTTCAGTATGAAATTGAAAGAGAAAAGAAGTTTCTTGACTGTTCTTGGCATCCATATAAAAACTAAAATTAAAAAAAACATTTTATATAGTTTGCATCATTTCACTGATGGAAGAAGTTGTATGCTTCATAGCTGAAAAATATTCCTAAATTTTCTTTTACAGAATCTCTGGATGTATCCCAGTACTTCCGTTTTTTTAATAAATTGCTAAGTGCTTGTTCAGAAAGCAGGAACATTGAAATATCATCTACTGTAGTAGAATTCATGTTTGCAAGAAATATTCCTATTGAATTTAATTTACTTCGAACATTAATCACAGCACTAGGAAGAAGCTTTTTGTGGCTTAAGGCCAGGAAACATTATAAAAGTAAGCTTTCTTAAAAACATGTCATTTTTTATGTTAGACCAACTTCTTCTGGAAATGTATGCGCTAAAAAAATTTTATGGTTACATTAATATTGAACACTGTCCAGAGTAATTTGGAGAACATATACTTGCATGTCTTTTTAAATTTATGTTATAACTGATTACGCAAAATCTGTTGTAGACTAAGGAGCAAACAGTAAAATTATTTGAGATTATTAAAAGCATTGTGTAAAACATGTCTAAATTCACCATTCTATGAATGGAACAGATTTTTTTTGGTGCATCATGCCTGAATTAAAACATGTTTTGGATGTTCTGATCTGTTTCTGGGAAGAATGGATTTCATATTTTAGATGCATATTAAAAACACATTTATTCTAGGCTTGAATGGTTTGAACAGGATAAAGAGCGGGAAAAGCAAGGTTGGAATTTTCTTGGAGAGCACATAGAGAAGGCCTTAAGGGAAGGTCTGGTAGCAGGCAGGTCAGCATGCTAGCCCTACAAAGGATGAGGCAACATACACTAGTAATAATCTACTTGCCCTGTAAAATTACTTGGGGATTCTTCTAGATTTTGTGTTGATAAACCTCCAGAACAACCGTTACATTACAGGTTGTATTTATATTGAACTCCAGCCAATTTGAAATAGTTCAATAAAATTTCTAGAACATAATGGTAATTTGGGATCATAACAAAACATATTTTCTACCAATAATTATTAATATTTAGATATTATCTGTTATTATTTAATATGTTACACATATATTTTCAGATAGACCCATTTTAAAAAATTTCGGGTTATTTTAGAAGAGATTTATGGCAGAAAAAAATATTGCAGCAACATAACTTTGTTTTGCTTTTTTTAAGAAAGGAACAAAACCCTAGCCAAGTCCTAGATTGTTTAAGAATCAGTGGAAGAATAAACTGGATATTCCACTGTGTGGTAGTGATGAACATACTATTGCTAAAGTAGTGTTATCGAATTTAAATCTGGAAAATGAACAAGTAAAGCATTGTATGATTCAATGGGCAAGTAATTTTGGATATAATGCTTGAACAGTGGGAGAATTTGTGGAATAAAGATTTAAAGTTTACATTAAACTATAATTTAAAAGAAAATTTCCATAGGACGGTGTATTGTTGGTATTTAACTCCAGATAAATTGTCAAGAATGTATAAAGGTACCTCAAATGAATGTTGGAAATGTAAATGTTTATCATCTATGGTGAACATATGATAAAGCAAAGAAGTGTTGGAGTAGGATTCATATCTTAATACAAAAAATTCTTAGAGTTAATATAGAAAGGAAACTGGAAATTTTTCTTTTGGGTTTAATGGAACGAGACTTTGAAAAAAAATGGAACTCTGATGTTATATATGTTGACGGCAGCAAGATTACTCTATGCACAGAAATGGAAGGTCACCTTGATTCTCACAATGGCTGCAAAAACTGATGGGGTTTAGCAGAAATGGCTAAATTGACTGCTTTGATCAAATAAAAAAATACAAGTTCTTTCATTTCTACTTTAAAACCACTTCTGGATTTTGTGCTTCAGTCGAAAAGAATGAAACTTTGATTTTGGATTTTACCGATTAGATAATTTGTTGTTATAGAAATGGTTAGTTTCTATTACTATGAAAAAGTGAAAAGCTGAGGGTAGATCCTAATGCCTTATTTTTCTGAACCAAAGGAATCGGAAGTCAATGCCTTTTTTTTTCTTTTTCCCTTGGTTTCCCCCCACTACCCACTTCCCTTTTTCCTTTCCTAATTTACCTAATATTTGCTTTTGTATTATTTTCGTATGCCATATTATAAATTAATAAAACAACAATAATAAGAATAAGAATCAATGGAAGAATGTTAAAAATGGTTTACAGCTTCTTAGTTGTACTAGCATATCTAAAACATCTGAGCATTCTAAATAAGCTATGAGATTAGCTATGCTAATTCTTCTTTTCTTCTCTTTCCCATTTACCAAAATATCCAGAGATCAACAGTATGAAAATGGAGAAAGTTTAGAGCTGTCTATATATTAAAGCAACCTTAAAATGTGTAATAAGCTACAGAAACAAGAGATACATGTTTACTAATATTAACCCTTCTAATATATTTTTTTTGTCATTTTTAGGTGCTTTAGCATTAGGTTGCTATCCACCACCAGAGGGAAATCTTTATCGTAAACTTTTACTGATTCCTTCATATATGAGTGAAATTGAAATGCTATTAGCAATTGAATTTTTTTTAGTTTCAAATGCTAGTTGTATTCAGAGTCCTGGAGCTTCCAGTCAAATACTTCAAATAGTATTAAAAAGGTTAGTATATATTCCAAAAGCATGTCTAATTAGCTGAAAAAGTTGCTCATATATTGATTTACCCCCTGCAAAAGATGTATTATTTTATTATTAATTTAGATAATTATTTGACAGCCAACTCTGCTATCATTTCTAATCACAGAAATGAAATGTTGCTACTGAAAGTCTTCCAGAACAATAGAAACAATAATTCTTGTGATTTTGAATTTTTTTCTAGATGTGAAGATAACAATATTCAAAACAATGATGAATATCAGAATGCTTCAGAGAGACTGTTTCAGGCTGCTCAGATATCTAATCCAAAGCTTTTCATAAAGCATTTGACAGTCAATGTTAATAAGGACCAAATTTATAGTTTGGAGCATATTTCTGTTGTTACATGGTTGAAAGAGAATATGAAATGGGCAGGAAAAGCCTGGCTTTTTAAATCAAGATTTAGTTACAGTAATGATTGCTTAAAATAAATCAATAAAGGTTGTTTCTGTTGTTTTCAGATTCTTAATAATTCAATCTTTTGGTTTCTAACATTAAAAAAACAATTCAGAATATGGCTTTCTAAGCATGGTCATTCAGAAGGACTTGTTCTTAATCATTTAATCTCTTTTTTTTCTGTGTCAAAATATGCTTACAGTTCAGAGTTAAAATTACAGGTTTCATAATCTTCACCCATCTTTCAAAAACAAGGCTGTTGCCATGCAAATAATAAGTTTATAGTTCTGAAGACAGTATATAATAAAATTTTATAGTTTGGGACATACTTGCGTAGTTAAATGGTTGTCTTTTTATTATAACTTTCGTTACAGTAATCATTGTTTAAAATGAATCAATAAAGTTTGTTTCTGTTGTGTTCAGACTCCTGCTTACTTTGTTCAATATTAGTTTCTAAGAAAAGAAAATAATACAGAAATTCGCTTACTAATGTGATCAGACGGACCAGTCTTTTTTTTTTAAAAAAAATAACTTTTATTAGATTTTTTAAACTAAAAAAACAAAAACAAACTACTATTTGAGATAGAAAAGAGTAAAAAGAAAAGAAAAGCCAAAATGCTGAAAAAGTGAAGTATAAAGAAATGATTTCTGATTTTACATTAAATAGATAAAAATTCTCCAGTCTAAGGTTGCAAAATAACTTGCATTTTTATATTACTACCGTATTATTGTTTCTAATGATCAAACCCATATATTATAATTTCATTTTTTTCTGTTTCACACAAAAAGTCCAAAAAGTCAGTCCTCATTAAAATTTTCTCAATGTCTTCTTTCATCAAAGCTATCATTTTTGCAGTCTCAGCCACCTCCATCTTTACATTTGTAGCTACAAATGTATGTCCAGTTTTTCTACTACATTATTTTTCTATAATGTCCAGTTTTTCTACTATTGGGTATATAAACACTGCCATTATACAAAAGAGCAAAGTCCATGAATTTGTTGTTTGTCCATCAGTTCCCTAGGAACATCTCTGATACCAGTATTAATCTTTAAATCTTCTGAGTATATATAATTGAATCTAAAACTTTTTGGCTTTTTTATATGTCCATGTAAAATGTTCCCTCATGTTGAAGTATCTCTATATATTTTAGACAATGTTTCTGGTGATAAATACTAACAGTACATTATTTTATAAAAGTTCTCTTAAGATTGTAATGTAAATTTTAATCCTTTCATCCACATATTTTCCAATTGTTCCATTTGTATATTATAATCAACATTTTAACCCATGTTATCATACATTTTTTCATTTATTCTATGTCAAATTTTAGTAAACACTGATAGATTTTAGCAATAACATGTTCATAATTTGTACATAATTCTGTTTCAAAATGTTCAGAACCAAAAATCCTTTTAGTTATTATAAATCTCTAGTACTTCTACATAAGAAAATCAATGACATATATACATATAATAGGATCTTATTTTGAAATCTTGGAAAAATTCCAATATATCAGTACAGCTTAACCATTTATGTTTAGTTATAATTTTTCATCTATGTTGATTGTGATGACAAGAAAGACCAGTTCTTGATAAAACATTTCCTATATTAAAATGTGTTTCTAGTTTATTTTTAAAATTTGAGGCTTCATAATCTTTAAAAACAAGGCTATTGTCATACAAACCATGATTTTATAGCTCTGAGGACAGTATAAAATAAAAATCCACTATTCAAAGTAAACAAGGTAGGTTTTAAAAAGAAATTAACCATGAGCAGAAGCTTCAAAATATTGAAATTATTAAACAGAAATAAAGATAAAGTCTTTTGAGTTGAGCTCAGCTCCAAATGTCCCGATGTAAGTTTTCTGTTCACAACAGTTAAGGAGTAGTTTCCCTCTGCTTTATTTCCCTGTTGAATCTGCTTCTCAGGCTAGCAATATTCTGGTGTTGCCAGATGGTATTCCATGACTAGATCAAACCTACTTACTAATCTAGTATACGAAATTAGAAAGGTAGTACCATTTAGTACCATTAAATCTTGATACAACCAAAATCCAGGTGAGCTTTTAACATTAAAAGGTCTCGAGAGACTGTTCAGTTGGTCTTTCCTAAAGAATGTTTCATAATGAGATGTCTAATATTAAATGTAGGGAGTAAACATAACTTTAGCCATTGTCTAGCAGGATAAAGGCTTCTTCCGCATGTTTCCAACCAATATAGTCCTGAGCTTTCTTTTGCCAATTGGGCCCTCAATACTTGCTGATGTCGTCGATCCATCTTGTTTTAAGTTTCTTTTGTGGACACTTTATCTTTTTATTTTATTTTACAAACATTCCATCTTTTCTTTATACAGTGTGTCATCTGGGTACAAATGTCTTGTGCATAATATTTGTGGTTAATACAATTTCCTTACCATAACAACAACAATTACATTCTTATTTTGAACTAATATACATAATATATCTTATTATTTTAACCTTCCCCTTTTTAATTCCTTCCTCTCTATATTCATATACACCCTATATATCTCTCTTCAATGTTCATATATTTAATTTCTAATTTCCATTTTTCTTTCCCAACCATTGATAAAATAATTCCCACGTCATATAATCAGATTGTTATTTTCTTTTGATTGCCAGTGTTATAATCTATTCATTTCTGCACATTCTGATATTTTCCTAATCACATTATCCTCTATCAGAATCTTTTCACTTCCACTTTTGAGCAAATACTATTCTATCTGTAGTTGATACATGAATAATTAGATATGTCTTTTCTTTACTATAACTTTCTGGTATTATCCCTAACAAAAAAAAATCAGGTTTTAGGTCTATATGTTGTTTTATCATCTTTTCCAACCACGTGTATTTTTGTCCAATATCTTTTAGCTTCAGTGCCTGATCACCACGTGGCAATATGTTCCAGGTGTCTGGTGACATTTCCAACATTTAGCTGATTTATCTTTAAACATCTTTGCTAGTCTTGCCAATGCAAAATGCCATCTGTAAAACATATAAATTTTCTTTATATGCTGTTGACATCGTTAATTTATAATTTCTGTCCCATAGTTTCTGCCATTTATCTAATTCTTATCGCATAGCCAATTTTTTTTGCCCATGCTGTTGTCTCTTTCACTTGCTCTGCTTCCTATTTAACACCCAATAAGTAGTTATACAGTTTTTCTCTGTTGTACTGCTGTGAGAGTCCAGGACAGGGAAAACTCTGCCTCCTTCACCTTGGGACTGAGCTGTTTAGACCTGCCAAGCTGTTCAGACCTGCCTCTGTTGCCATGGTTACCCAGCTTTCAATTCAGTCCCTTGTCAGAGTTGCATGTGTGTGAGCTGTCGCAGAGCATAACAGCAAATTCAAGCCTTAATCCAAACTTCTGGTCCACTTCATCTGTGTTGGACTTTGAATCCTGCTCCCGGGGATCTGGTAGAACAAGCACTGTTACAAAAGGGGTTGGGAATTGGATCTTCCCCCCCCCCCCTGCTCCAGGAGTGATTCCCGGGCCGGAGCTTCAGCTCCCAGTGCTGTGGGCACTACAGTGGGCATCAAAAACTAAGTTATCCCAGCAAGCCTGGGCTAGTGCTTATGATTGGGGCTAATTGATTCCAGGCAAGCTTATTTCCAAACTAACAGTGCAAGGAGCCCTGCACCACCAGGAAGTCTTACACCAGCTTAGTGCCAATCAGCCAGTCAATTTCAGCAGCAGAGCGGCGCAAAGGACTAATTTATTTGAGTCTCCCGCCCTTTGGCAAACAAGGGCTATTTGAAAAGGCCTCACAACGGGGTTTGTTTCGCTCGCCTGGCCATATTTGGGGGAGATGAGGCTAAAGAGGCAGCCCCATTCAATTAGCTTCATTGGGCCAGTGTAATTCAAAACAGAGGGCACATGAGATCTGTTGGCCAAATCAGGTTGCAAAGAGGCCCTATCCCCTAGCATTTCACAGGCCTCATCAGGAGACAGGCCAAGGCCCATTCATCAACTCAGGAGGAGGAGGCCAAGATTCAAGCCAAGGCTGTCGCAAAGACCAAAACAGGAAAAAGTTGAGAAGACATGAGGCCCTGGAACAGCAGTTTGCCAAGGGTCTGGAACACAGAGGGGTGGGGCCAACCATCACCCCATTCTGGTGATTTGTAGGACTCCTGCCATAATGTAGCCAGATCAGAATCAGAACTGGGTGTATTCCAACTTCCCCAGACTTGGTCACCAGACGGGGCTGGTGAGTCAAATTCTTCCATACCACAGGATCTTACCGAAGTAGGCCCTAGCAACAGGCCTGCTGCTTGGGCAGAACCTTCTACTTGCTGGAATCAGCCAAATATATGGCAGAAGCCAATAGTTGAGGCCACTTTTACTCCAACTGCTGCAGACCTTCATCCTGGAGGTTACCCATGAACAGAGGTCCCAGACCACATGAAAAATGTGTCTGTAGCCATTAGGCAGGGGATTGTTGATATTCAACAAATCTTAGGACCTACTGGGTTAGCACCTGGACTAGTCAGAGCCTCTGTGCAAGCCTTCCCTCAAGAGGAAGCCCCACCTGGGAGGACAGATTATACTAGAACCCCTGTGCAGGCCTTAACCTCTTTCCACAGTGAATGTCTGGACTACCAGGAAGCTCGTTCCATGGGTCAATCCGAACACAGCTATTCTGGTTCAGAAGAGGAGGAAGGGGAAGTGAGGGATTCTAATCTATCTGAAGATGAAGGCATGAAGCCTGAACAACTAGTGTTCATGTGCTTATTTAAAAGCACATTGTTCAAATCCCTTTTGTATAAGGACAAGAACACGGCCCATCTATCACCGAATGAGGCCACTACAGAACCTTCCTCAGACTTACAGTCCTTCAATCTATGAGAGGTATTACCATTGCCCAAGCTTTTCCTCAATGTGGTACTTAAGCAATGCACCTCTCCAGGTTCTGGTCCTAACCCTACCTCAAACAACAAAAGGTTTTATAATGCGGGTCCAAATTTGGCCAAGACCTTACAAATGCCCACTGTAGATTCTCCTGTAGCTATTTCAGGAATTCCTACAGAGCCAGAAGATGTGCTGAAAGGTGGTCTGAGCAGACTCTGCAGAGGAGCCATCAGGCAGCTGCCTGGACAGTTTGGGCCTTGAACACGGACTTATTCTTCATGTGGGCATTGTTCTGCTGGCTAAGACAATTACAAGAGTGTATACCAGCAGGGG